ATATATATATATATATATATATATATATATATATATATACCCCCTTAGAGAATATACCCCCACCAAAAAAAGCAAATACAGTTTTTTCCAATTGCTAACACTACATGCACACATGCACAGCACAATTATTTAAACTGACACACAGAGAGCAAAACTTCTTCTCAAGTCTCCAAAAGTCTAAACACATTTTCTGCTTTACACACATTTTGCATACTCATTGTCGAAATCATACTCTAGATTTAATACTGTCACATGGAATTGATGTTGATGGTGTTGAAATTATGCAGCCAAGCGATGATATCTCAGATCATTATTTAGTCTTGTGCAAACTTCATATAGCTAAAACTGTAAATTCTACTCCTTGTTACAAGTATGGTAGAACCATCACTTTTACCACAAAAGACTGCTTTGTAAGTAATCTTCCTGATTTATCCCAATTCCTTAGCATGTCCAAAACCTCAGAACATCTTGATGATGTTACAGAAACTATGGACTCTCTCTTTTCTAGCATTTTAGATACAGTTACTCCTTTACACTTAAGGAAGATTAAGGAAAACAGTCTGACACGTGGTATAATGAGCACACTCGCACCCTAAAGAGAGCAGCCCGGAAAATGGAGCGCAGCTGGAGGAAAACAAAACTAGAGGTATTTCGTATTGCTTGGCGGGAAAGTAACCTATCCTACAGAAAAGCATTAAAAACTGCTAGATATGTTTACTTTTCGTCTCTTTTAGAAGAAAATAAACATAACCCCAAGTATTTATTCAATACAGTGGCTAAATTAACGAAAAATAAACCATCAACAGGTGTTGACATTTCCCAACAGCACAGCAGTAATGACTTTATGAACTACTTTACTTCCAAGATCGATACTATTAGAGATAAAATTGTAACCATGCAGCCGTCAGCTACAGTATCGCATCAGATAGTGCACTATAGATCGCCTAAGGAACAATTCCACTCATTCTCTACTATAGGAGAGGAAGATCTGTATAAACTTGTTAAATCATCTAAACCAACAACATGTTAGACCCTATTCCATCTATCTAAGCTCCTAAAAGAGGTGCTTCCAGAAGATCATAGATCCTCTTCTGACTGTTATTAATTCCTCATTGTCATAAGGATATGTCCCCAAAACCTTCAAACTGGCTGTTATTAA